ACCCTAGCTGGTTTGGCTCAGTGGATAGAGCGTCAGCCTGTGGACTGAAGGGTCCTGAGTTCGATTCCAGTCAAGGGCACATGCCCGGGTGGCAGGTTCAATCCTGAGTGGGGGGCATGCAGGAGGCAGCCGATCAGTGAATCTTATCATTGATGTTTCGATCTCTCTCGCTTCCTCTCTGAAATCAATAAAAATATTAAAAAATAATACACTTTTGCTTATGAAGAAAACTGAAATTCTTATTTAAGTAAGAATTTGAACTCACTGTGGATTGATTTTTCCATATACTTTATCTAATAAAGTAGGATGTGCTTTGAAAAGTTACTTTTATTTTATGTGTGAGGCCTAAATGAAGAATATTATTGATGCAGATTCCCTGCTTTAGAAAACTCTCAGTACCAGCCACACTAAGGCATTTATAAATCTTTATTATAATGCTGTTCAAAACTTTTCTTTTCTAAAAAAATATATTTTTATTGATTTCAGAGAGTAAGGGAGAGGGAGAGAAATAGAAACATCAGTGATGACAGAAAAATCACTGATAGGCTGCCTCCTGCATGCTCCCTACTAGGGATCAAGCCTGAAACTCAGGCATGTGCCCTGACTGGGAATCGAACTGGGACCTCCTGGTTCATAAGTCAACACTCAATCACTGAGCCATGCTGGCCAGGCCGAAATTTTTCTTAAATTGGTAAATATCTAGGAATTCTTATTTGAGAAATATTTTCTTTCAGTAACTTTGATAGTTTCTTTTTTGTTTTTCCAGTGGTTTATTTAAAGTATTAAAGTTTATTTTGCTATCTGCTATATAATTTTCTTCTATCTGCTTCCACAAATCCATCATTTTCAAAAGTAAATGAGTTTGTAAGTAAGCACAGCTCCAAAACAGTCCTACTCCAGTGAGTAAGTCTACACGGAACAGGTTACCCGTACCTTGGCTCTCTCCTGGATGGCTCTGTATCGTTCCTGCAGATCCTGGAGCTCTAACTGGGTGACATAGTGCTCCGTCATGCCAGCTCCTTTGACTTCAATGGTTTCCAGCAAGCTGCTGTGACTCAGCACTTCTTCATTTAATAACTAGAGAATATTTAAAACATAATAAAGGAGTTACCACATATACCATCATATCAGTGATACTGATATTAATATACTTTAAAATATATATTTTTATTGATATTAGAGAGGAAGGATGAGGAAGAGAGAGATGGAATTATCAATGATGAGAATCACTGAATGGCTGCCTCTTGCATGCCCTCTGCTGGAGATCGAGCTCGGAACCTGGGCATGTATCCTAACTGGAAATCAAACTGTGACCTTTAGGTTCAAAGGTCGATGCTCAACCATTGAACTATGCCAGTTGGGTAATATTAAGATATCTAACTGTATAGTTGACAAGTGATGTCAGATTATCTATTTGTAGATAGATAGATAGATAGATAGATAGATAGATAGATAGACAGATAGATGGATCTATCCATCTCTATATTTGAGTGTGTGTGTGTGTGTGTGTGTGTGTGTGTGTGTGCGCGTGCGTGTGTGATTGTTGGAATACTACTATCTAGAAAAAAGATTTAGGAACATACCCAATATTTATCTATGTACCTATCTATTTAAAAATTTTTACCTGTAGTACTGTACTAATATGAACATTATGAAAAGTACACAAAAATAGAACTACAAAAGTGGTAAGAAGAAAGCATTTTGTTTCCTAATAATGAGTCAGCTAAAGATATTACAAGTTGCCAAAGTTTAAATAATCTGTATCATAAAACACGGGTCATCGAGATTTTCCTGGAAGAGAAACTTTTCACCCACAAACAAAAGTCTAGCTTCAGAAGCCATGTGAAATGATGGCACAAGCCCCAAATAATTTCCTTCTGTGTAAAGCCCGATCACATGTTTGCATGACAGAGGCATTCTGAGGAAGCCCCGCAGAGAACACCTGGAATGATAAATCCCATGCCCACCTTGGCTTTCCCGAGAGCAGCTGTCTTCTCCCGCAGTTCTGCACACGGCCTTTCCAATTCGTTCAAGCTGGCTTCCACACTGTCCATCCAACCAGAAAACTGCCGGACGTCATCCTGGTAACTTGTCCACTTAGAGAGAGCTCCCTCCAGTTGACTGGAAGGGATGTGGAAGGACAACGGTCTGTACAGAGAAGCTGGGGTGGTGTCTGCCCTGGCCACCCCACCCGCAGGAAGTGCACAGGGCGATCAGGAAGGGGTAGGCTTGGGCTGGCTTATCAAAGCTGGGTACCTGGCAAACATAGTTTCAGGAGGCCAGGGACAGTTAAGTTCAGGAGCCCAGGCAGAAAGTGGGGCTGGATATCAAACCTGGAGTCAGTACTCTGGTCCCAGGAGATGCCGGGAGCACCTTTAGGGCACAGCTGGGAGAAATTCCCTGAGTGAGAATTTTATGGAGCCAAGCAAGACTCCGGGCAGGGAGAGAACCAATACTTAACTCCATCAATGTGAGGAGGACGTTGAGGGGAGAGGGAAAAGGAATTTATAAAAGAAGGAAGAACCGAGTAAGAACAAGCATGGCAACTATCTAACATGAGATTTAAAATCAGAGAATTATAATGGGAAAGTAGGGGAACATTTCCTAAATTAATCTAATTATTAAAACCTAATTGTTTCTCTTACATATATATTAAGTACTTCCTTCTCTCAATATGGGGATTATATTTTTAAATCTCTTGATCATTTGTGCCTCATTTTACTGCTCTGCTTTGGGTGCTTTGTAGTGAACCCAGGTGTACCCCGGACCACACCACTGCAGCACACTGACCACAGACTCCTCATCGCCTGCTCCATGCCCTCTGGGCCAGAGGGCACACTCTGGTCCCTGTGGCCTCTCAGCTTCAGGGCTATATAAGTAAGAGAGGCCGGGGATTGTTGTCCCTGCTGCCTGCAACTGCCCTCCTGACTCCTGGGAGTTTATTTACAAACTCTCCAGCTGCCCTGTTCCTGGGCGGGGCAACTCTGAGACCCATGTTCTCTCTGGCTCCCAGCACTGCGGGCAGGATTCAGTTCCAGCTGCCCACACACCCTTTTTTGGCTGCCTGTCCTTCCTCATCTCTTTCCCACCCCCTACTGGCTGATCTCCCAAGGAAACTACTGGATTTTAAGGAATATATCTTTACATGATGAAACATTTATCTACCTTTGCCTTCTTAAGCAGTGACAACAATAAGCTAAACATGCAGTTATAGTACACAAGGCATAGTATTGCAAATGTCCTACATGCAAGATTGTACCTGCCAGTTTCTTTTGTTCTAATAAGGAAAAAGGAAAGGGAAGGAGGGAGGGATGGAGGAAGGAAGGGAGGGAGGGATGGAGGGAGAGAGGGAGGGAGGGAGAGAGGG